AGCCACGGAGGGGGAAGGTATGGGGACTGCTTCTGCATCGGGCTACGGCCGATCATAGGAGTGCCACGCGCGACGCGCGTGGGAGACTGCAGGCCGCCGCTCTTTCTTAAAATTGCTGAGCCCATACACCACTTAGTGGTGAAACTGTGACAACTGTTCAACCCCAATTGGAATGGAATGGTTGCCCAACTGGCGAGCTCACTGCTCTCAAAGGATTTTTCTTTTCACGGGGTGACCAGCACCCCCGCAACAGAAAATAGGAAACAACAGTGATATCACCAAATGCCTAGGACTAACATTCACCAATGGGTCGCACCTAGCCCAATCAATCTGAAACTGGGAGGGGTGCAACTGGAAACGAGAGACCATCCGAGAACCTTCCTGGAAGTGCTCCTTTGTCAAAATTGTCAAAGGTAGGCGCTGTGCACCCTTTCTATACCTGTTCACCACACATATTTGCAACCGCGGTTGCATGGCGAATATCAGGGACACCTCCGTTGGGTGAGACTGAAGGCTGTTTCAACAACCTGTTCGCTGTTAGCATGAGCATCAACCATATCATGTTGTGGTCTCTGGATCCAAGTCTGGCTGCCAATGAATCTCTTACCCCTAGCAATACATGCAACCTATGACAAGAAACCCAAATTCCCTAAACCAGGATTAGTCAATACGATAAATTCTAAATCAGCAAATTTCCCCGCGACCCCAATTGGAGACATTTTAGAACCAAGCCGCGATGCTAGATCAATACAGAACCAGTTTTAAGCCATTCAAAACCAGCACAAAACAACAAGTGACCCAGACTTCAGCTGTTCAAATTCCTTCCTCGGAAATGACAAATTTGGACGAGGAGCGTAGCGAAACTTTGCTGGCAAGTAATAACTATCGTCGGCCTCCAGGCACATGTGCTTGCTGTTTGCAGGGGGGAGGCCCTGTATTCATTCGGGGGAAGGGATTGGGACTGGCTTAAAAATGGACTGGTATCCTTCTTTTGGAAAGCTGAAGCGTACTGTGGATGGACAAAATTTAAATCCATTTCGCCACCAAAGTTACAGGGGGGAATCATATATCATTCCAGGGAATCAGAGGTGGTGCGACACGGATTTCGCGTCCATCCACTATATATCCGCTTTCTTTTTGCAAGATGTCCAAAACCTGAACTAAGACTTGGATCCCGAAGTAAGCAAAGGATCTTTCGCATGGCTTTCGTTCTCGTTTTACCCCCGGATCGGTTTGAGCGAACGCCATCCACCCATCACGGTCGTCACGTCCCACGGGCCCCGGGCCATGCTCGCCGTGGTCTGCGTCCAGCTCTGTGCTAAGGCGCCTGAGGATTTCGTTTCTCGTGGTTTCCATTTCTAGGTTTTGCAGTAGAGAGGTTAAAATAAGGGAAAACCCTCCCCCACAAAAGTTGGTCGAAGGGCACTACTGGGGGACCTTGATTTGGTTCCCTTTGAACAACCTACCAAACAAAACCCTGAAAATGGCAAGAGCTTCCTTTCCGGCTCCCCCATTCTGAGGTGAAAAGGGTACCCTCAAGAAACACACACTCCGATCTGGGGGGCAGCTCGCTTTGCTCACGTGGTGCACCCAATCCACAGGGCAAGGTTGCAAATCCGGGTTCAACAGTCTCTCTCGGGCGATTCGCGGATTCGCGAAGCTGTGCAGGATCCACCCCCGCCTGGGCTTACTTTGGCCTGCTTGGATCCCCTACCTTAAGGGGGAGGGGGTTTGGGGGTCCCCCAATTCCATCTATTTAGTCTTCCCCACAAAAGGGAAGATGGAAGCCATAAATGAAATTCCAGGGTCACCCTCCCCCTCTTCCATTTTGAACCCCCAAAATGATAATTTGCATCTTGGTTTCCTTTTAAAGCCAACCAAAAAAAAGTGCCCTCAAAAAGAAGACCAATATGGATCCAAGGGATATCCAAGGCGCGCGTGGTCATGGCCGCGCGGAGTGCGTCCCTCAACGCCGTGCACAAACCCGGGGCCCAAATCCCTTGCTGCTGCAACCAGTCGAGGCGAACCTCCGTGTTGGACCTAAGGAAGCAGCCGCGAGTGCACCAAAAAAGACATAATACGCTGGATGGACGAAATCCATTTCGCACCAAAGGAACCCTGGAACAATATGATTCCCCTGTAAATACCAACAAACAACGGTTTCAAGCATGGTGTCTTAGGTGGTGCGAAACGGTTTTCGTTTATCCGCAGTAGTGATGAACATGGTCATGATAATGATAAGCAAATCTATAAATCATTGCTACTCTGGAAGGTGAGAGGGGTCAACAAACACATGTTTGCCAAAAGATGAGACCAACTGCCTTTTTAGACGTGTCTAAAACCAAGTTTAGACATTGATTGAATAACCTCCCTTTGGGTTCCCTTAAAAGGGGGTTGGGGTCTGCCCAACCCTGGTTATAAGGAAGCAACCTCAGGCGCAAAAGGGAAGGGCAGGACACAAAGAAACAAAATAATACAAACAGAGTGGAAAAGAATACAAACCAAACAAGGGGAAACAAACAAGCAAAGAAACGAGACAAGCATGCACGCAAACATAATAGAAAAGGAAAGTGGACAAACTGCTGAGATTGTCACCAGCGCTGATTTCACGGGCTATGGCTACTTCGGATTTCCTAAGCAGTGAGTCAGCGAGCTATGGGATCAACGCAGAACCCCAAGCTACGCTACCGCCAGCAGCCCCGTTCCCCGTGTTCAGCTCGCTAGCCTGTAAAACAAGCTAAGAGGCAAACACACACATATAGACGGCAACCATGATGTTTAACAGCATGTCAACAACATGCCAAATCACCACTGCACCCCGCGCCCGCAACAAAATGAGGTTTGTAAACTTTATCTGCCCCCTGTGGAAGTGGTTTGGGGTTTAGGTAGAGGAGTTTCGCCTGCAGGTTGTACTTTTCCAAAAGGGTTTAGAGCACAGGTCAGGGTTGCGGGATTTACCTTTCCACCACTTCTGTGATCCTGGGTATCACAGAGGTAGAGGAAACAATTCAAGGGTGTCAACTGTTTTTGGCATCACGGCAGCGGGTGCCCCAACCTCTCATTCCCACCAAGGGGCAAGACACGTCGCCGACCAGAAAATCCCACTTGGTAAACTCCGGGCGCCATATCGTTCTCCAAAAAAGGACCCTCCAAACTAGTGCCCTCGGCCGTCCCATAACCACCCGCGAAACACCGGCGTTGAGTGGAGCCGTCCAAAGACAAGCTGGAAGTTGGCCTGAGAGACTCTTCGGGTCAGGTTCCAAAGCCTAGCACTTGAACTGATCTGAGCTCCTTGCAAAGCAAACGCAACTCTTCTTGTTACTAGGCTGACTTGTCAAGTTGGCTGGCTAAACAAAAGCAGACCAACTGCTCGACATTTGAGGCCTTACTGAAATGAATGTGAAGCCTGCAACTCTTGTGGCGACCCTTGAGGTGGCCCAGGACCCGTTCACCAAACACTGGTTGAACGCCGGCATTTGGGTTTGAACAACTACAATAAAGCACACTGGGTTAGAACCCTGAAGCAACCCCCGCAAGACAAGGGGCTGAAGCAAGCTGGGCACATCAGGGGGAGGATCTGGATATGAGGCCTGCAGCCCTGCCAGAAAGACCTCGGCTTTTTCACGGGGCTTGGGAATGGGTGCTACTTGAAGGGGCATTGTACTTGGAAAGTGGTTCGTAAGCCTGGTTATAACCCAGTGTTAACCAAGCTTGCTAACCAACTTACTAAGTACCCTGCCCTTTAAGTAGGGTATGCAAACCAAGCTGAGAAACTGGGCTTTGCGGCACTCTGCCAGGGGTTGAGAGCCAGTGGCTTGTCAGGGCTCCCTATTGGCAGGTGGCAGGGATGATGTTTGAGGGAAAGTTTGGCGAAAAACAACGGGAAAACGGAGCCGGATCCCTCCAGCGACCGCTCTTTCCCAATTCCAAAAGCCGCAATCCATCAGGGGTGCAGAGCCCCGCAAATTAACTTGGAATGCTACAAGGGGATGATAATGTTGACCCAGGAAAAATAAACCAGTCCCATTTTTGGGGGGTGTTCTCTCCAAAAGTGATGATTCCCCACCACAGGGGACACCCCCCAATTAATCAACCAGGGGTTTATTATTCCGGGGTTAACATTAATAAGGTACCTGCACACATAAAGTGTGGCGGCTCCATGTGATTCTGCACGATTGTAATGGACCATGGCAGCAGTCAAAAATTAATGAGGCCCATATTGCCAAGAAAAGGGGGGGATCTGGAAAACGCGTGGCCCAAACCCAATTCCTTGGCTGAGCGGAGGGGGACCCACCAAAATTTTAAAGAAACACAGAAACAAACAAGTACACAAACAAACAAAGAAACACACAAAACAGAAAAAGAGCAACGAAGCAACCACTTGGGTCACCCGGGCAAGACAGTGCAAGGCCTGGAAGGAAAGCATCATCCATGCCATTGCGGCCGCCATTGGTGGAGGTCAACAACAGCATCCCATGTCCGTTCATTGCCCAAAATGCTCGTTGAGCCTTGCACTCGGGGTTAGCACATCAGCTCAGCGAAACGGCTTGGCCCAAAGAGTAGGAAGCTGGGGTTGTTGCCCTCTTGTGTCCTTTCCTAAAGTTTGCAAGCAGGGACCTCCTTGACTGAAGACTTTCTCAGCCCCTAAGTGGGAACATGTCACATGTCAAAACCTTCCAACCATTCTAGACAAGAACCTTTGTCGTTGGGCTGGGTGAAGCCAACATTCCCACCAAGAATCCAGAACCAACACAAAGGTCCAATCAAGCCACGGTCAATTCGTCAAGCTAGGCAGCTGGGCCATGTGCTTCGGGATCACGCACACCCCGGCCAGGTCTTCCCAGACGCAACCAAGTAACCGGTGGGAAAACGAGCTGGAACCCTGTTAGACAGGTGAGTCGATATTCCGTTTTTAGTGGGCCCCGAAGCCAAACAGAAAGGGGCTCTGGTGGAATGAGAGGGGGAGATCTGGTGACCTTCACGATTCTTGCAATCCGATCTCAGCGCCGGTGCCCGGTATTTGCACTTCTAGCGGCAAAGGACAGCAAAGGCCGCCAAATCTGCAGCTTCACGCTCCAGCGCTGTGCCACGTTCAGGCCCTTGCGCATGTCCTTGCCATACGGACTTTTTATTTTTGCGTGGGTGGGTGGGTGGGTGGGTGGGTGGGTGGGTGGGTGGGTGGGTGGGTGGGTGGGTGGGTGGGTGGGTGGGTGGGTGGGTGGGTGGGTGTCAATCTAGTCAGGCGAGGACCTCTGCAAAAATACAAGTACAAGCAGGGGTGATTATAGCTTCAAGACGGTCATGGCTGAGTTACAACAACTCACCACCCTGAAATGAGAGGCTCCCAGAAAGAAACTGTAATGATGTAAGTGAGGTGGCAAACTCTGGTAAAGTCGGACAAGTGGGAGAGAATGCCAGCGTTGTATACCCCACACCCTAGGTATGCCCCAAACCTCCCGTACCATGGGAACAAGGACCCCCTGCTGAAGGAAGGAAGGCACCACTGTACTGTGGAAATAGTCGCTTGGGGGGTAGTGACACCAACATGCGTTCAACGATGTGCAGAACGCGTCATGAGAGTGAACAAGCGACCGTCCTGCCTTGAAGGAGTGATGTCCCGTTGACTGGCCACACACCACACGTTATGCGTGTGTTTTTTGACAACGCGCAACCCCCCGCGAAATCAACATGTTGGCTGTTGCTGTTGACTTATATACAACCGGGACCCCTCAAGAACTCTGCTCCAATCTCATCCTGAATGGAGGCAAACTCACGTAAATGTGTTAGGGCCAAGGCTTGGGATGCATGAACCTTGGCTTGACCCAGGTCCTAAGTCTTACCCTTTCGCACCTCAAGGGATTGGGGATTGCCTTTGAATAGCCCATCATACATGGAAGGGCTTGTGACAAATTCAATTCAGGGGACCATCAAAACGATGTTCGAGCAAAACACAAGGAACCTCACTCATATGGAAGCTGGGAATAGAAGACCGTTTTTTTTGATGGTACCATATTCAGGGCTGAGTGCAGCCCAGGGGAGGAAAAACACAAGAGACAATTTGGGCGAGCTCATGCTTGGAGACACACGTTGCAGGATTGTTGCGTGAGGATTGCTGTCAAGCAGCGCTGATTCGCCCCGCGAGCTCCAAGCCAATGAACCAGCTGCCCATCTCCCCCACCAGGAACTCCCGCATCGTGCCGTTCTTGCCCCACCTGCGTGAAAAAGAGCGGTCGAAAGGGAAGTCTTAGATTGATGAACCTTGCCCTGTTTGATCCTCCAGTTTCCCCTCCAGGAAATTTTAATGCTTCAAACAGAGCGCACCCTGGCTTCACCGTTGCAACCAACAACCCGGAAGGTAAAACAGGCAATGAAACCATTTCTGTCTGGTCGAGGTATGGCACGAAGAGAACTTTTCCGGTCCTTTTGCCTGTTCCAACTTTTCTTATTAAGGGGAATCTCTCTGCAAATTGGCTCTGCACGGGTATGACGGCTGTTACTGAGCCAAAAATACTTTGAATGCCAGCAAATGCCATTGGAGAGTGTGTGTGTGTGCGCCGTTTTTGGGGGTTGTATGCCCTGTTGTTACCAGGCACTGGGTGTTTTACCGTGTGTGCTTGAAGGGCAGGCTCCAGCAGAGACATACATTCGACTTTGTTCTGAGACTTCTCAATTTTGATGTCACTGCAAATTATGCAAAGCGCAAACTGCGCTTGAAAGCACTCCTGGATTTACGATTCAATATTCATGTCAAAATGTTGGTACAGTGCTTTCATTTCCTCTACTGTCCATAGATGAAAATATGCTTTTCATGATGTGTAGCACTCTTCGCGGATTTGGTGCAAGAAGACCATCGCACTTGACTACACTGACCGCTTGTCCTGATATCATATACATCACCTGTTCCTCATACTCACGCTTTTCTAAGAAGTCCGAACGTAAGCATGTTTCTGCCCATACATTTGCGCAAAACGAATTAAGTAGTCTTTTGCAGCACGTGTGGATCCATCATTCAATATTCTTAGGACTGTTTTTCTCCAAGGTCAATGTTTTTTTCTTTTTTTCCCGCGCTTTAAAGCACTTGTGGATCCAATACTCAAGGTCATCGGGCCTATAGTTTTCAATCTTGAGTCCAGCACTGCTCCAAGTACCATGCGTTTACGCGCTTCAATACACTTTCGGATTGAACGTTGAAGATAAGTACAGGACAAAACACGATTTGACACACTTTGCTTGGAGCCTTTCTGGATTCCAGATTGAAGGAATGAGAGTCCTCAGCATCTTGAATTCTGGAACAAGAGTGTGCTTTAGCGCACTCGGATTGGAGCCCCACCGACTTGAAGATTCAAAGGCGAAACCTGAATCTTAAATCCGGAACTGCTTCATGAACGTTACGGGGTGCAAAATAGATAGGGGCCAGAATTGAACTAACCCAAGCCCTTTTAGCTTCCTCTGCTGCTCGCCTGTCCAAGTCGGACTCCGTAATGTCCGAATGGTTCATTGCCACTTCGGCCATCTCGAGATCCAGCCATGAGTGGATGGTCCGCTGCACCTGTGCCACAAGTGGGGTTAAAGGTCCAGATCCAGTGACTGGGTGTTGAATATCAGACGTATATGTATATATATATATATATATGTGTGCTTGTGTAAATGTATATATTCTCCCACAGTCTTGTTCCCGGTTTGGGGTTGATTGATTTTCAGCGAGACTCGGCCGCCCACAACCAGCCCGCCCGCCGACGGAGCTTGTTCCAGACAGATGTGGCAGACATCCTGCGCCAGTCCGAAGCCTGAGGCCCCCGCTACCGAAACCACCTGAAACCTCGGCTTCCCGTGGCCGGACGGAGCTGGCAGAGGCTCCTGCCCAGCCGGGCCAGGAAAGGCATGGGCCGAAGCCAGAGAGAAGCAATGATTCAGGCAGGTCAGTCCACGCTGCTGATGTGACGTTTTTCCAGAACCAGGTTTTGCAAGAGTTTCAAGCAAACTTAGCCGCTTTCATTGTCGGCTTCTCAAAGATGCCTCAGCCTGGCTGTTTGTTTGACAAGGCCCAGGCGCAAGCGTGCAAACGCTGAAGCCATGCTGAGCCACAAGGCCTACGATGAGCAAGATCGAACGCTTAGACTTTTTGGGCTTTGGCGACCTTCGGCTCACACGTTCAGCTACTTTTCAGCTGCTCTCAGCCCACGTAGTCGGATCTTGAGGCTACAGAAGACGTGTCCTTGGAAGAGCTAGCCTGGCACCTCGAAGAGTTGGAGTGCCCTGAGCAAAGGGGATCTCCATCAAACACGACGCGTGATTTCGGAAACAACTGAGGCTGCTATCGAGTAGGGGTCAACGCTGCCTTGGTTCATTTTGGTTTGACTGAGATTATGTTGCCGTCGCAGCAGCCAGCAGCATGCTTGAGGCCCCGCGCGCAGCCGGATTGACTGTTTAGCGCATGCGTGGCCGCAGTCTAGCGCAGTCAAGCAAATTTCTTTGGTGGGGATTGTTCCAAGCATAGAAAGGATGTGCTACAACAGTATAGAAAGCTAAGCCAAAGCAAGGCCTTGAACTGGCACCTTTGGTTCTGCGTGACATGGCGGTTGATGCCTACTGACTTCCTCATCTCCATTGTTCATGGATTCCTTACCGCTGTGGCAATACCTCGGTGTTCCTCGGAAGGCGGCCTCCTTCCGACCGGCCGCCTAGCCTCCTGGAAGAGGCGCAGATCGCCGGCGAAGTAGCGTGCGTCCAGCAGCATGCCTCGGATCTCAGAGGCTCGCCGGTTTGGTCGGCTAAGAATTGGTAGGGGCCCCACCAAGCAATGATTGATGATGATCGATGTTGTGGTCCTTCACAGGTCCCTGTTCATTCCGGGGTTCGGAAACACAACCAGCAACAACTCACAGTCAGCCACTGAAAAGTGGTGGGTATCCCTTTGTCGTCTTAAATTACGCCCTCTCACCCGGGTAGAGGGTTTCTGCACGACTACGCCACCCGTTTGGAGTGTCTGCGCCAGGTTGCGTGCCGCGATGGGCTCGCTGAGCAGGGTTTGACCCACAAAGTCTTCTGCACCGCACGGTGCCTTCCTGTCCAACGTTGGTGCTCAAAGGGTCCCAGTAACGTCTGAAGTCGTCGTGTTTCCCTCCGTATCAGTTTGAAGCGGCTTCAGCTGCTCTATGTCTACCAAATGACTTCTCATCCTTTGCCCGAATATATGCGCAGTCGTGTTCCTGTAGTCTTGCTGTAGGCTTGCCGTAGTCTCCGCGCAGTCTTCCCACAGTCGTTTCCGTTCACGTGTTTGAAGACTTGTCCATGTTGCGCTGCAACAAGTAGGCAAAACGATTGCTGGCAAGGTGTTTAGAAACATGCGGATAATGTGAGCTAATTATCAATTTTGCTTTTGGTTTAGCTCGACGTGCTTTTCGAGAAACATGTTATCTGATCAAACGTCGGCATCGGTGTTTACTCCTCCTCAAAGACCCCTCTAAGCGCAAACGCATGATGCAAAAACCAAATCATAGATGGCTAAGGGGAGCCTTCCCGACGTAAAACCTATGATTTTGACGGCATTGGGCCCCAGAAGGGTTTGGTTTGCTTAAGTCCAGTGGCTGCCCATGAGGGTTTGCAAGGTTTAGAAACACTGAAAATATCTGACTTAAAGCTTGAAGCAAGTTTGCAAAAAAGTCCAGCTGCCCATGAGTCGCAAAAACCAAAACCCGAAGCTTCGGGAGCATCCACGTTTTCGAGAAGGAAAAAGGTGCTGCCACTGCCGGACCTCTTTTGCTGAAGGGTTCCAGAGACCGAACCGAAACAACAAATTGAGCTGTCAAGCGTACCATGGCAACTGGCAGGCCCTTGCAAGGAAATTTATCTAGGCACTAGGCTTCCTCCATTTCCTGCTGGAGGACATGTATCTTGTTGGACCCTCGTTGTCTAGAAGGGACAGGGAAACCACTGAAATACCTTCACAGAAAGTTCACGAAGTTGCATTTCCTCAAGCTCTAATCTTTTTCCGAAGTCATCACGGTCTTGTCCCTTGCACGGGTGGCTTTTTTCAGCTCGCTGTCCTGCTGAAGAGGGAGTTGCTCGGGCGGTAGATGATCGCGGAGTCAAGGGCTGCGGCTTTCATCTTCAGCTGGAACTTCCCCATGTGTACCTGTGAGAGAGGTTTGGCCCTTTCACCTTGTTGGACTGCATGTTTCTTACTGGTGAATATGGAGCCCAACGAAACATGACAATCTTTGGAGGCAGAAGTTTGTACCTCGGACCTCAGGAAAGCTTAGTGTGCTTGGCTTGGCTTGTTGGTGCCAGGATCCTGGTAGATATCTATGGGGGTTATTCTGATCTTCTAGTCCCAGCTAACCTCGCTCTAATGTGTGCAAACAGTTCTTGAAATCGGCTGGCGCCTAATATGTTGAACCGACTGGCATGGATGTGTCCCCAATTGGGGAAAGGCTTCCCGCCAAAAGCATACCGAAAAACCATCACAGCATATGTAGTTTGCCCAGCACCGCTAAACAGCCTCTGATCGTCGTGCCTCACACAACAAAACACCTGGGGGTGTCTCAAAATTTGGGGCGCCCGATGTGGATCGGCTTCCATCCTGTCAGTGCTCCTTTTTGACCTACCGAAAAAGGCGTTCTCCGTACACAGGCAGAGGTTTCAGCCAAAGGGTTGTCCCGGAAACTGTTTCTCTATGGTCTTCCAAGTTGAGGCGGAATGTCTTGGGTCCCGGCCCCTTCTCAATCCGCGCAACATTCGCTGCAACCAGGCACGTATCAACCAAAGGCAGGTTGGTTCAATACTTCTGGCTTATGCTAATGGGGCTGGCCCCACCCTGTTCAGCTGGCTACGTGGTGCCTCTGGTCAAGCACATCAGTCGTTGCCCAATTTGGAATGATGAGAGAACGCGAAACCCTACTTACCATTGGGGGGGTCACGGGAAAAAAATCCTGGCCACCACGGGGGGGTAAACCAGTGGTACCCCAAGCAAGCTCTGGATCTTCATGGTTTGAACCGCCCGAACAGTGCCAAATTTGCCACTGCTCCGCTGTTCAGAATACAGCGAATCCATAGTTCAAAAGGACAGCTTGTTGTCGGGAGATAGTCTTAAATGTCCTGAAGAGGGCTTTGGAGGGCTGGGCAAAAACCCGGGCAATTTATGACTCTGAATCGATGAAACGCCCCCTGGGTGCACGAGCATTGGCGCTATCCATGCAGCTTCTGCTCACATAGAAGAACTCCTGCCAGATCGGCGTGCACGAGTGTGTGTGTGTGTGTGCTCGTAGCTGTCTATGTTTTTCATTGGGGGGGTACCCTAATGGCCCTAATAGAAACCTTGGGGGGGTTCCCCTTCTGCTTGCCATTGGACATTTCAAAGGTATTGATCTTACATTTGTTGGGCACAAAGGTTCTCTTAATTTACTTCCGTCGGGCGGCTTAAAGACTAACCTGGGGAATGAGTCTTAATTGAAAACAAATTGGTGGACATCATAGTTGTCCTACGCGAGCCCCAAATTCACCATAGGCCTGATCCCGAAGGAACTTACCTAAGGTGCGCTTGTTGCGGAAGTAGACCGTTTTGACCCAACCTCATCCCCTTCAAAACTCGGCTTCCGGCCCAACTGTGGCAAACAGGGGGCCTGGAGAAAGCAAACAATTGTCCATCCTCGATTGGGTTCCTTTTCTTTACTCTTGCACAACTGTCCAAATCCCTTCGCGCCAGCTTAGTGGCGCTTCCGTGTTTGCAGAGTTTCCATCCCAGCTGCGAAGGATTTCTCCAACAGAAAGAGCGATGGCTGGAGGCTCCGGCGCCTGAGACTTTTGAGTACGGAGCAGGGCGAAGCGCCCAAATTTGCAGTCAAGAGTCCAAGTGCGTCAGGGTCATCAGCTCGTAGCGCGAGGCGCTTCCGGCCAGCAACAGCACATGCTCGTCCACCTTTTGAGCCTCAGGCAATGAAAAGGTCTGCACCATGGAGCCTATATAATCAAAATGGGGTTGTTGGGGGGGCGGGGTTGAAAACATGTAAAATTGCCCAATCCTGGTCGCCCTTTGCCCAACCTGAAACCATTGCCCCAACCAAAATACGGCCAGTTTAGCTTGGCAATGAATCAGGAGAGGTTTGAAACCCTCACCCCAAAAAGCTTTGGGACCTCTGAACATGGTTGCCTAAATTGTGTTGTTTATGGTCAAAATCCCCCGCCCCCCCCCCCCCCACCCCTCGAAGATCCCACCAACCGCCTTTCCTCAACACAGGTGACGCATATCAAGTATATGCAGCATCCGAATAGAAACGAAACCACGCAAACGTCGAGCAGACGAGACTTTCAGGCATACCAAGCTTAAGCCTCTAAGAACTGGTGTATGTATATATATATATATATCTGTATACGTACTGTTATGTGTTTCTTTCTTCTTCTTTTGCTTGGTGCGTGTGTGTGTGTGTGCGCGCGTGTGGATACCCGAATTGGAACCAAGCTGCCCACTTCCAACAACAACGACTAGTGACCAGGAAAACGAAAGACTTTCAGGGTCACAATTCAAAGCAGTCAGCATGAAAAACGCAGGGACCCGGAGAGTCATGACGACCCCATATTCATCAACCGCGGTTTATTAGTAGGGAGGGTGTTCCTCTCCAAAAGTGATGATTTCTCTCTAAACCCAGGGGCACCCCCCTATTCATAAAATGGGGTTGATTAATATGGGGTCAACATCCATGTGCAGCCTCAGAAAAAGTCTGAAGTCATACGTTGATGTGGCTTCAGCGCCCCTAAGAGATTGCACCTTCGCTTTTGCAGAGCAAAGGGTGTCAACGTTCGCGAATTCCGAAGGCTGACAAAATGCAGATTGCGCGTTGCAATCCCAACCTACTTGTCCGCAAGTTCATTTCATGCTGAACAAAGCCATGAGAATGAAAGTGGCACCTGCCTTCGAAGCCTACAATGCTTAGTGAGCGGAGCCCATTTCCGCAATGCGCCCTTCTGTAACGTCGGACATTCGCTGTCCAGCGCCACTGAAAGATTGAACATCCGTCGCGACGGGAAAGAACATTGGGAGCTCTGTCAAAGCACTAGCCGCAATTGCACATACCCTGAAAACAATTCAGCCAGCTCTCGGCAAGGCTCGGAGAAAAACAACCTCCGGTGTAAGGGCAGTGTCGCCCCACTTTTTTGGGGGAGCCTTCTGCCTCAGTCTTGGGTGAGCCACTGTTGGTCAGAGAGGTAAGAGCACGTATATATTATTCGCGTATGGTCATGACTATCCCTCAAACCGTGCCAAAAACGGCTTCATTTGGCTGCGGCCAAACAAGGATTTAAACTGGGACACCCCTTCATGACCGTAGGGATTTAAGATCTGATTCAAGGTTCTTTGGGGGTAGGCCCTCATTAAGGTGTTGACTCGCTGAGACATTTGTTTCTCTAAGTGTTCGCTTCTTAAATGGGACACCCCTCTCCAAAACTCAATCAACCAGAGGATTGTTTTCTAGTTCCTCCAGTAGAGAGGGTAGAAAAAGGGTACCCTTCTTTTTTCTGTAGTCTGTTTTAGTAGGGGAACCCTCCCAACCAAAAAAGAAAGGGGAGAGAAGGGCACTACTCGGGGACCTGGTTTTAATCGCAAACCATCGAACCTCCTTCCCAAGGCCTCCTGTTCGATTGTCCGGTACAGCCCGCGCGCGGTATCCACCCTCGGGGTAGGCCGGGGTCACGCGTGGACATGGGGAGAGGCAGGTGGGGACTTGTTGGTCGCGCCCCAACAAACGATCCAAGGGCAACGAGGGCTGAGAAGGGGGCTGTGACTTTGATTCGTTTGGTTCGTGTTCATCCTTGTTTTTTAGGGAAACTCCAAAGCTGTCGAGTAAAGCTGTCGAGTATTTAGCCCACTAAGGCTTTGCGGCCGGGATTGCCAGCATCTCAGCCACCATTGATTCTGGAGTAACCATTGACCATTAGGAAAGGTTTGATACTGAGGGGCCTGGGACAAGGCAAAAACAAGCATCCCCCTAGCCACAAGCAGCTTTGTTGACCGGGATATTCAGATCATGAGTAATTTAGTGATCACATTTACTCGAATGGGCCTTATAAACCATCCCTTGTGGTTTCCCTGGGTTCATTCCCACATTCTCTACTGAGCACCAGCAAGAAGTGGTCACAATCACCGCTGTTTCCAGACAAACTCCGAGCCTGACCTTGGATCACCTCCGCAAGAAGTACCCACCGGCGTACCCAGACAGCTGGCGGGAAAGATTCCTCTACAAACAGAATGAGCAAACATCGGCAACTTTGCAAGACAAAATTGGGTTTGTCAAATTAGGGAACCCCAACAGGGTGGTTTTCCTTTTGGTTGGAAGTTGGAACCAACCAAAAGGGACTCCCCGAAAAAAAACACACACGAACCCAATTGGTTCCTTGCCCGTTTCGTCCTGGCTCAGCAACCCAGAACACCGACCCCCAAACCCGTAGTTTGTGGAGTTTTGGAGGGGCCTTCTTGTTGGGCTCCATGCTAATTCGTTGGAGGGCACAAATGGGGGGGTTGCCGACAATCTCAACCGCCCAAACAGGCATGCCAAGCCGAGGCTTTTGAAACCAGAAAAATAACGGGGGGCCATTCGACTAAGTCGATCATTTCTGAGGCTGTTAATTTGATGAGTCCTATTCAAACATCAACCTGCAACGAACTTTAAAGGGATTATTGTATGGTGGACCCTGCTACCCACTGACATGGAACTTGCCAGAAAAAAAAGTCCCGTTTAGAGTCTTAGAGGAGAATTGTCCAAACCAGGTCAAGTTTCCCCAATCAGGTTGCATAGCAACGAGCTCGAATTCGGCATGTTCGTATTCCGCACATAGTGGGACACCGCTCAAGGCAAGCCACAATCACCTAACATGAGGATTTAGAAATGACTTGACAGCATTGCTTCAAGGATCACTCCAAGGATGTATTTGTGAACCCTGTCAAACAACTCCGAATTAAGCTACCTCGAAACATCCATTTTACGGACCCAGTAAGAGGTCTACACAAAAAGGAACGCAGTCAACAATATTCCTTAAAGTATACTTCCAAAAACACCTTACTTTACCAGATCCGCTCACTCAGCTGCCTGGGTGATGTTTCTTCACTTGCCGCTGTCGTTCTTTCGGTGCCCCGTCCAAGGCCACGCATTCGAATCACGACCGACGATTTCAGCGAGGCGCAGCGTCTGCGAGAAGTCGCGGACCACCAAATTCGCCGGGCGCGTCCGCACCCGCAGCTCTGCGATGAGGATCTCGCGGGCCCTCTGCACCTGAGCCGCATCGCGGCTAAAGTCGGGACACCCTGGAATATGATCTCTTGGAACCCGCCCTCATTTTGGGGTATACATAAATATATATATATATATATATATATATGGGTTTGTATTTTTTTACGGTGGCCGGGCAGGAAGGTTTGAGTACGGGGTATGATTCGCAGGTATGATTCGCGGGTATGATTCGGGGTATGATTCGGGGGTATGATTCGCAAGCAGCAGCAGCAGCAGCAGCAGCAGTAGTAGTAGTAGTAGTGTAGTAGTAACAATAGTAGTAGTAGTAGTAGTAGTAGTAGTAGTAGTAGTAATAATAGTAGTACTAGTAGCAGCAGTAGTAGTAGTAGTTGTTGTTGTTGCAGTAGTAAGTAGTAATAGCAGTAGTCATAGTAGTAGTAGTAGTACTGGAAGTAGTAGTAGTAGTAGTAGTAGTAGTAGTAGTAGCAGTACTAGTAGTAGTAGTAGTAGTAGTAGTAGTAGTAGTAGTAGTAGTAGTAGTAGTAGTAGTAGTAGTAGTAGTAACAGTAGAAGCAGCGACTGTAGTGGCGCGGAAGCTTTGAAAAGACTTGGCTCCGGCCTTGGCAAGGCAAGTTCATTGCGTGGGTATGATTCGGGTATGATTCGCGGGTATGATTCGGCTAGGTGCAAACCGGCACTGATTACAACTCAGAATGATGACTGTAGTAGTAGCTGTGGTAGTAGTAGCAGTAGGATGTAGTGGTGCGGACGCTTTGAAAAAGACTTGGCACTAGCCTTGCCAGGGGAAGCTCATTGTCCGGGTATGATTCGGGTATGATTCGCGGGTATGATTCGGCTAGGTGCAAAACACTGATTACAGACTCAGAATGATGTATGTAGCAGTGAGTAGTAGCAGCAGCAGCAGGAATAGTAGTAGCAGAAATAGAAGTAGAAGTAGAAGTAGAAGTAGAAGTAGTAGTAGTAGTAGTAGTAGTAGTAGTAGTAGTAGTAGTAGTAGTAGTAGTAGTAGTAGTGGTAGTAGTAAAGGTTGTAGTCGTAGTAGTAGTAGTAGTAGTAATCAAGGTTGTAGTCGGAGTAGTAGTAGTAGTAGTAGTAGTAGTAGTAGTAGTAGTAGTAGTAGTAGTAGTTAGTAGTAAGGGTAGCAGAAGCAGAAGTACTAGCAGTAGCAGCGGTAGTAGCGGTGGTAGTTGTAGTAATCCTCGTAGTCGCGGTAGTAGCAGTAGTAGTAGTAGTAGCAGCAGCAGCAGTAGTAGTAGTAGTAGTAGTAGCAATTGGAGTAGTAGTGTTGTTGTGGAGGCAGTGAACAACACAAAACGGTAGAAGAACAGTAGCATCTTGCAGCATACGTTTTAAGGGGTATGATTCGGGGGTATGATTCGGGGTGTGATTCGGGGGTATGATTCGGGGGTATGATTCGGGGAGGTCCCACCTTCTGCCTTTTGAAGCAAGTCAACACACCAAAAAAGACAAACCCATATAGAGAGAGAGAGAGAGAGAGAGAGAGAGACATAGCCTTTGGGGTACTTAAAGGTGTTTAGGGTTTGGTGCTAAAGATCAACTCTACTCTACGCGTGTAGAAAGCGAGTACCCGTTTTTTCCGACCCCGAACCATTTTATTGCGTGGCAAGGTCGGTCCCAAACGCAGGTCGCTCGCAAAAGCAAGGTCCGAACAAAGCGGCTCCTCCAAATCCAAGCCAAAAAAAACACAACGTCTGACAACATGCTGCATTGAAGGTGATGTCCCAATATACCGCGGTCATGTTCAACTGTGGACAATGTCTAAAGGGCGCCATTTTGGGGGGCACAAATCCAGAACGGCAATCTAAAAACCATGTTTAAGGCAGAGGGATCCAGCAAGCTCCATGCACTTCGAGCCTGCCACTGGCCGATGCCTCATTTCGCAACCGGAAGGGGTGGAAAGTCAAATCCAAGCTTTGTGTGAGCCAGTAACCGCTCACATGCTCTGTTCAAACGGTTATCAACTCCACACTGGAAAGTGCGGCAAATCATTTCGAGGCATTTACTCCAAGAGCAATTTCCCCTGAGCAGTTTTCCCTATCGCTATGGCTCCCTTGGCGCTTGGGCATCCCTTCCAAAAGGGCCCACTGAAGCAAGACCCAAAATGGAAACCCAAGCCCCTGAAAAATGTAGGGACCCCTTTGGATCTTTGGATTTTGGGTGGGTTGGTTGTGGGGAACCGGCGAGGCCTTCATTTCATCCTGGGGCTTGGAGCCATTGCAGCTCAGTGACTTTTTTTCGTGCCCATGCCCATTAGAGGCCCTTGAGGACGATTCAGGGCGAGGAACTTCCCTATGGCACAGCACTCTGAAAATAAGTACTGGTGCAACCAAGCCTATGTTTCCAACCGGCTCCTTCAAGTTGCATTTCTCAACGCTACCTTCGCAAACCTGGCTTCACATATATCTTTGCGGCTCTTTGCTGCCGCAAAGATATGTACAGAATCAACTGAACCACTAGCCTGAAGGCCCAAACCTGAAAAGGGTGCCAAACAACAAAGACCATATCACCTGATGCCGAATTGATTGATTGACTCCTTCTTGCTTTATTACGGTCCTCTTTCGAGCGATGAGCATCCCAGCCCCTGCCATTTGCTTAAGCCCCCCAGAAAAACAAAAATTACACCAGCATAGACCCCAGATAGCACACCACGGATACGAACCATGACGCAGCATTATCATGATGATGTAGACCATGATGACACCACAGCCACGAAACAAACGCGCAGACAACGTCCTAATGAGATCAGCAGCATAATGATGATTTTGAGAGCAATCCGGCAGGAAAACAGCAAAAACGAGGTCCTGATGAGTTCAACAGCATCATGATGATGCGGACAGCATCATGATGATGCGGACAGCATCATGGTGATGCGAACAGCATCATGCTGATGGTAAAGGCAGCATCATGATGATACCACAGCCACGAACCATCTTGCGACAGCTTAATGAAATTCTGCATCATCCTGATGTTGACAGCATCACGGCGCCACTACACCCACACACCATAACGTGGGAACATCATGACGATACACCAGCCACGAACCGTTACACGCGAACAGCATCCACCAGCACCCCAAACATGCCCCCTAGCACCCGGTACAACCAAAGCAGCATCCACCCGCGCCTCAAACTGCATGCCCCTTAGCACCCGGCCGTCAAGCTCGCAAAGCAGCATCCACCAGCCCAAATTGCATGCCCCCTAGAACCGGCCGTCAAGCTCGCAAAACAGCATCCACCAGCACCCCAAACTGCGTGCCCCCTAGCACTCGGCCAGCTCGCAAAACAGCATCCACAGCCCAAACTGCATCCCCCCAGCACCCGGCCGTCAAGCTCGCAAAACAGCATCCACCAGCACCCCAAACTGCGTGCCCCAAGCACCCGGCCAGCTCGAAAAACAAAACAGCATCCACCAGCACCCCAAACTGCATGCCCCCAGCACCCAGCCGTCAAGCTCGCAAAACGGCACCCACCAGCACCCCAAACTGCATGCCCCGTAGCACCCGCAAAGCAGCACCCACCAGCACCCCCAACTGCATAGCACCCGGCCGTCAAGCAGCACCCCAAACTGCATGCCCCCTAGCACCCGGCCGTCAAGCTCGCAAGCAGCACCTACCAGCACCCCAAACTGCATGCCCCCTAGCACCCGGCCATCAAGCTCGCAAACCAGCACCCACCAGCCCCCTAGCACCCGGCCGTCAAGCTCGCAAAGCAGCACCCACCAGCACCCCAAACTGCATTAGCACCCGGCCATCAAGCTTGCAAAACAGCATCCACCAGCACCTCAAACTGCATGCCCCCTAGCACCCGGCCGTCAAGCTCGCAAAGCAGCACCCACCAGCACCCCAAACCGCATGCCCCCTAGCACCCGGCCAGCTCGCAAAGCAGCACCCACCAGCACCTCAAACTGCATGCCCCCGAGCACCCGGCCGTCAAGCTCGCAAAGCAGCATCCACCAGCACCTCAAACTGCATGCCCCCCAGCACCCGGCCGTCAAGCTCGCAAAGCAGCATCCACCAGCACCTCAAACTGCATGCCCCCTAGCACCCGGCCCTCAATCTCGCAAAGCAGCATCCACCAGCACCTCAAACTGCATGCCCCCTAGCACCCGGCCCTCAATCTCGCAAAGCAGCATCCACCAGCACCTCAAACTGCATGCCCCCTAGCACCCGGCCGTCAAGCTCGCAAAGCAGCATCCACCAGCACCTCAAACTGCATGCTAGCACCCGGCCCTCAATCTCGCAAATCACTTTCCCCTCTTTATTAGAAGTTAGAACCCCTATAGCTTTCAGCTATCTGGGGAACAACTCCACGTAGTGATAGATTCCCTTTAGAACCAATAGGGGGAACTAATGTTGACCCAGGATTAATAAACACGTCCCATTGGGTTTTTTTTCCTCCAAAAGTAATGAATTCCAGCAAAAGGGGACACCCTCGTATTAATCAACCAGGGGTTTATTAATCTGGGGCTAACTTTAGGGGAAATATAGCACATATCCATTTGGCCATGGGTTAAAATCCCGTACCCCGAGTCAACATCCCAATCCCCCTAAAATCGTGCACCTACCCCAAAATGGTACCTAGGCCCTCCAGCAAAGAAGCTAGAAAAAGGGTGCCCTTTTTTCTGTAGTCTATTTTAGTAGGGGAACCCTCCCCCCCCCCCAAAAAAAAAAAAAAACGGTAAAAATTGGCACTGCTGGGGGACCTAGTCAATTCAGCCAAAAGCTTCGCCGGAAGCCGTGGGTTTCTCGGAAAGCCGAGCCGCCACGTTGTCGGGCGCCGCGGTGGCATCCGCCAACATCAGCACAAGCCCCGCCCTCAGCGAAGCTCCGAGCTTTAAGGGGCTCGTGTTGACCCCAGGGCCCCAGCAAAATCAGGACCCCAGCAAGACAATAGTTATCTGTTGTTGTGTTTTTTGAGTGGAAAACAAATAGGGACCCCAAAAAAACAAAACACAAAAAAAAGAGGGGAGCTAATTACGTAATTATGGGGAAGATATGGAGCCCATACAGGGCTCCCTATATTTGCCCTCACAACATCAGCTTGATGAAGGGCAGCTCACCTTAAATGGGCAAGACAGGTGATGTTCAAATCCAGAGAAAAGGGAAATATAGGGACCCCTGCCATATGAGTCGCAATCAAAACCTGGTATTAAAATGGTCGACCCAGAAAGATGTACAGAATTAAGAAGGCGGCCGCGGCTATTTATGGCTGAGATTGGCCCTTACGAACCTTCATCTACCCGGGTTTTGATTGTGGCTCATATGGGGGTTGATCAACATGAATGACAATAAATAACTTTGTCCATTTAGAATATCATCTTTTTTGGTGGTTGATGGTCATCCCACAAGCAAAGGACCTTTTGGTCAACCCCCATATCAGGACTGTGGTTGAAATGGAATGCACTGTGATACAACAAAAGGGGCTTCCCAAAGAAGAGGGAGATTTCCTTGTCCAAAGACTACCCCCCCCCCAGGAAGGAGATTCCCTTCTGTCACAGAAGTGGGGACAACCCTTCGATCCCACCACCATGCCCATATTAATCAACCCCAGTCTATTTTAATAGGGGGGTGTCCCTGTGTAGTGGGAAATGCGACCACTCTTGGAGGGGAACACCCTCCAAAAGAATAAACTGGGGTTGATCAACATTACTGTAGATGGTTGCGAAATCCTCTTAGGCACCACCGTGCAGAAACCCTGGAAGCATGTACGATTCCCCTGAAAATACCTTTCAACTTTCAAAGTGGTGCAGGATTTCGTCCATCAGTAGGGGCTACCCTGCGGTGCACGTTGCCATGGAACCTGCATGAAAGGAAAATGATCCTCCAGGATCGCTCTGCGAGGTTCCATGTTTGTGGGAGGGTGAGTTGAGTACTAAGATATTTAATCGAACTCGAACCCCTTCCCTCAAGGGAGAATGCTTCTGTCGATGCTACTAAAATGTCAAGGCTTGACAAGTTCACAAAGAGTTCCCTTCAAGGGCAGCCCCAGCCTATACCAGAGCTCGCTCACCCCGGCATTGGCACTCTGCAACCCAACACAAGTTTCCTTTCACTTTCCTTTTGCGGCCCTGGCAAGACGAAGAGGACCGCAGAGGGCTGGGGGGCCCAAATTGACCTGGAAAATTCGGTCTTCGGCTTGAACGGGGACGGGGTTAATTCCACAAACGGACAGAGAACCCCAAGGGTTGTGATGGGCCAATCGCCGGTGTCCTCAGATCGGTCATACTTTGCCCAGACCCATGACTTTTTTTGACCAAAGGCCCCTGTGGGTCAAAAATAGGTACCCAACATGGAACCAGGACCCAGATGGCCCTGACCAACTGATGCCCGCGCGATTCACCGAACCGAGCATCGCCAGCACCGCCGCCAGCGGCAGAAGCACCGCCAGGGAGGAGCACGTGCGCGAGCGCTGGGCGGCGCCTGCGCCTGACCGGGAAGAAACGGAGTCACGTTGGGCACCTGATTTGAAGATGTCAAAAGGCTCTCAAAATTGGTTTTCCCTGGGGGGTGGTTTCACTTTAAACCACCATTTGGAGCGTCATCGCTTAAAATAGCCAGGAATATGGAGTGGTCAGCCAAACATGTTTGGTTTGCTTCGCAAAATGTGACAACATGTCAAGGATAAGCTACTGCCAGCAGCAAGATGGCAACATCTTGAATCGCGGCATGCAAGAGCCAAACAAAGAGTTCCTCCTTCACCAGCCAATGCACAGCGTAATGCGCGCAGGGCAATTCACACATAGCCAGCCAAACATCGAGTCCAATACCAAACGCTTGAAGATAGCGCCCAAAACATGGCCCCAGTTTGGGGCCCCAGTTCTAGCAGCCGCTGGCAAGCCAACAACATCAGTGATACACAAAGCAGTTTTGTAGACAGGACGTGCCCGATCAAATGTCTCTCCTCGATATGATGTGGAAGAGCTTGAACTTTTTGTGCCCCTTCAAAGCTGGACAAAGCAAAACGCTGTCTCGACAATTCCGCATTCCCAAGTGTGGCGGTGTGCGCTCTGGCGGGAACGTGAACATGTTTTCGCAGTGAGCAAATCCGTGCGCGGCAGTCTGTGTGCTCGTTCAAAACCCGTCGGCATGGTCGGCGGGGCGCAAGGAGCACGAGTCGGATGCCGCCTGTCCCAAACAAACCGATCTTCTGAGAGGGGAAGCATGGCTTCACAAAAACGTTGAACAGAACACCCAGGTTTTGTAACAGGCGTCAGCACCAAAAACTGATATTGGACTTACATGGCTTCACATAAACGTTGAACACCCCAGCTTTTTGTTCGAGGCGTCGGCACCAAAAACTGATATGCTCACTTGCCCAAAGGACCTGGAAATAGAAGGTTAACCTTTTGGGACCTTTGCTAAACATGGGAAACCCAAAAGGGGCAAACCCCAAAGGTCAGATCCGGTCGCTTCGCTTGGGGCTTGCGTGGGGATCTTGGACGAGTCCGTCCGCGCGCGGCGCGGAGTCCGCGCGCGCCTTCCCCAGGGCCCGAGGAGACGCCTTGCATCTCCAGCGGCTCCATTCCCATGGCGTCCAATTGGGCAAGCCCTTGGGGTAGACCAAGGAGCCCACTTCGAAGCGGCTCGCCGGAAAAAAGAAGAAAAAAACTGTAGAAGGATGCCAGATATTTGGACTGCGGCTAAGAATGAACCGAGATGGGAACTTGGAGCACTGACTCTTTTGCATCAGTAGGGAAACCAAGGGACACCAAGTTTGATCTCTAGTGAGCCAGAGAGTGCCCAAGACCTCAGAGCAAACTTTAGATCTCTTGGGACTCGGCGGGTTGCATGTTCCAAACCGACTCCTTTGACTCCAGGAATCTAAGGACCCCCAGCTTCGGGTCCTGGTGCGAATCTGCGGGCCACGCATCGTTCCAAGGTCCCAGGCACCGAGTTGAGGCTGCGAAGGCCAACGAATCAGCTGGCACGCAAGAGGACGTGGGGTACGCGTCAAAAGGGTACCCCCAAAAAGTGGCTCCTGGGTTCCCTTGCGGTTTTCCGTTAGAAGAAACCAAAAAATGGGTACCTCTAAAACGAGCAAAACACTACCAGGGAACCCACAACATTGGGGTACACGAAATAAAATTGACACGTAGCCAAGCTTCCTCATTCGCCCTCCAATCCAGCCAGTCCATTTGTCACCAACGGCTGCCAGCCGGCAATACCTTCAAGTCCCCGCAAGGTTGGCCGCACAGAGCTAAACAATCCGGCTCATTTGGAGCTTGCAAAAGTGAATCCCCCAACCCCCAAACCGGTACCAAATCATCGGACCACCACGGTGCCTGTGGACCTTGACCCAAACAACTGAACGATCTGCGGGTTGGAGGGGGATTCAACATATTCATGAGGTTCCCTGCCGGGAAGCTGCAAATCTCAACAGCAGCACTAAGGCAACACATGGGTCTGTCTTGTTTAAAGGGACCAAAAGGAAAGCCAAGGAAATGTCTCATTGTCAATGGACAATAGTTTCTCCCTCGATTTTCATACCCTTCCCTTTTGTTGGAGACTAGATATGTACTGCATCACTGTGGGCATCGCCATTTACATTGTGACTCAATGGGGGCATTCAGCTTCCACGCACTGTCCCTCCACTTGAACAGATCATTTTCACTTCCCACACCTGACGGGACCTGGAAAACCAGTTTCCTCAACTGCCACATTAACTAATTAAACTGACTGTTTTTCAACCCCCTGTTGAAAATCAATGAATTACTCGTCTGCGAATTGACGGGCCCACATCCCCAACAAAGGAATCTATGGCTGCTATCCGGAGTTATCTGGGTTCCATGTTACTGTTAACCCCGGATTAATACACCCCTGGTTGATGTTGATTGGGGGTTGTCCCCTTTTAGGGATTCAGACCACTTTTGGAGGGAACACGCCCTAATATCGGGGCGGGTTTATTAATCCTGGGCCAACATTCTCCAGCGAAGTGCCCAGACTGGGCCCGCCAAGGCTGCCGCTGCCAGCGGCTCGCAGACTTGCATGCAGCAATGCCCGCGTTGTACCTGGAAAAGGGGGGGGACCACGGCCTGTGAACTAGCGTTGCACAGATATGCGAAAATCATCTTTCGGCGGATGGCTGGCTGGCTGCCTGGCTGGTTGTTGGCTGGTTGGCTGGCTGGCTGGCTGGTTGGTTCGTTGGTTGGACGTTGCGTTTTAATTTAAGCTCAACCTCTTTTGGGCATTTGCATGCAAGTACAGGGGATTGCCTAAACCAACATAAGCAGCGACAAACTCATTGGCTTTTGGTTCAGTAACATGATTTTAAAGGTCAATGTAAGCCCTACTAAGCCTTGCTAAACCGGGTGGTCGAAGCACCTAAAATGGCGAGGGGGGGGGGGGGGGGGGTTTGGGCGCTGCTCACATCAATATATGCGAGGGGCTAAGGTTCCCCCAGAGACTGGCCATCCGACTGGGTTTGTCACTTTCAGGGGGGGGTTGCCTTGGCTCCAAAAGACATTGTTCAGCAGCATGATCACATATATATATATATATATATATGCATCTATGTACATTGTTATGCATACTATGGTTGTATGATTCTACCATGCTGGTAAAAATGATCAAAACGATAAAACTAAACTAGCAGTTATATATTAAACACGGTTGCACAATGGCTGAAAACGAACAAACATATCATGAGTAACCAAACTTAATCGCCATGTAGCAAGAAATGTACTACGACTCGCCGACTCGCCCTGTTGGCCTCTCATGAAGCTTTGGGAAAAGGAAACAGGCTGCAATGAGTCAACCAGTTGTCCGTCCAAGGGCTCGGCCAAGCACCGCTGGGATGCACCTTGATATATATATATATATATACAAACCTCACCTATATATGGGTGTGTGTGTGTTTTGTTTGGGGGCCCACCCCACAAATTTTGGTTTTCCTGTTGGTTCTCTTTTTAAACGCAAAAAGAGGTATCTCAAAAAAGCCAAGCCATTGAACTAGTTTGCTTTTCCGGTGTGTAATCCAGCCCACCCTTCCCTTCCAACGCTCTCCGCTTTCTGCGCTCACTGGTCACATCGACGTCTCCCCACGTTGCCGTCTCTCGCGGCCATCGGCGCCGCATATGCACAGTTGTCGCCTGGAAGGAAGGACCTGCTCAGTTCTGGGAGGGTGGCCCCGTTGAAGTCGCAAAAGCCTTCTAGCTTTTTCATCCGTCCTATTCTGGGCACTGGTCGCCAGGCTGCCAACGCTTACAGGCATGTCCTCAGTGAAACTGCCCCTCGCTTGCCCGGCAAGCGAAAATGGCAACGCGTCATAATGACAGAGTTCCCGAGGAAGTACACTCTTGGGTTGGCATTTCACCCCTGCATCAAGTTAAACTTTTGCTGACCACCCGGCAAAGTTCGAAATCCTGGGGGCCTAATCGCAATCCGTAATCCGCTTAATCCCTGTGTTGTTCGGTCATCTTCTTAATCCGTAATCCGCGCTTCAAACTTTGGGTCAAAACCGTATGGTGGAGCATGGAAAATCCGTGCACCCCATAATCCGCAATCCGCAAGCCGCGTAATCTAATCCGTAAACCGCACAATCCGTAATGCGCTAATCATTGGGGGATTAGGTTGAACAGCAAACAATTATCTTCAAACAAGTGAAAGCGTCAAGCTTCAAATAAAAGAGCAATCAAGAATACCCACCAACCCAGAATAAGCCTACCATACGGGAGGAGCCACCGCTGCAAGTGCCCCAAACTTGTGACCAGACCGATAAGAAGAGCAAGCAAAAAGAAAAACACATGCTTGCTAGAGGGGTTGATTTTCGACAAGCCTTTCCTGCTGGCATTACCTTACTCCCCACCCACGTGCGCACTTCCCTCAGTCCATCTCGGACCGGCATTCAGTCGCAAAGAATGCGGCCAGAATGCAACGGGACATTCTCCGTGGTCGATGTCCAATGGGCACTTCGCCCATCACTCAGGGTGGACCCACATCCGCGAAATGAAGGTTGCTAGGTCGATGCTTGGCCCAGCCCGAGCTCAACGCTCTAGCAAAAAAAATGGAACCAGGGGAGCGACGTTCTGGCCGTACCCTTGCACCATCCGAAACCCGACCGCGATTGCAGGATGCCCTCGAAGCCAAATAAAAGCCGCCATTTGCGGATACGTCCCCTGGACAAAAATGAGAAAATATGTTACAGTAGTGATAGATTCCCTTTAAAACCAACAGGGGAAAAAAAAGTACTCTTAACCAAATGGAAGAAAGGAACGATGTTCTGACCTGCACGCTTCTCGGTGAAGCTCTTTGCGTGGCTTGACTGAGCTGATGCTTGGCTCGGGCCTGTTGTGTGAGCCGTCTATTGGACGATGTGTGTGTGGATTTGCGGGTACCCTTCTCGCTGGGTTAAATGGAAACCACCCGGAAAAAAAAAAAAAAAAAAAAAAACATGCCACCCATTTGGGATGTTGCATTACACCTCAGGCCAGGCTGGCACAGGCAACTGGTATCCCTACGAATGCTAACATCTGTGAATTCAGGCCAATGGATGAATTGAGTTGACACAGTTTTGCCACAATAATTGCACTATCCAACAAGCAAATGGCACAATGGCGGGCGGGGGGACACACGTTTGTTCAAGGAGCAAAAGGAAGCCACTAGTTGTGAAAACACTTTTTTCTTTTTCTTTTCTTTTTGGCGATATTGCCTGTAGCAGTAGCCATCTCCAATTTTCAATTGATGAACTACCTCTACTAGCCGTAAGAACATCCTGCAATGGGCCCTGAGAAAAGGGGTCTGCAAAATCATGTTCATCAGCCGGACGGTCAGAGGAGCCATGCTTCCATGCCTACTTGCCTGACTCATGCACACGCCGTAGCAAAGCTGTGAAGCCATCTCAAGACTTTGTCTAGGCGTGTGTCTTTTTTGGAAGACCCCCCAAAATGGTGGTTTCCCTTTTCTCATTAAGACCGCAAAACAATACCCTGAAAAAGGACGGAGTCAAATGCGCCTAGGAGGAAGTGCTGGACCCACAAGAGGGCAAACCGCCACTCACTTCTATCCTTGAGATTAACCACCGCAGTTTTATGGGTCTCCAATATGGGTGTGCTGACTTTGGGAGAGATTAGGAAAAAAGAGCAACATTCGATCTGGGCCTTTGAGAGAACAAACACCATCTCCCACTTATGCAACCACATGGTTTAGGGCAACTGCATGTTTCAATTGAGGTTGGCTTTGGTCGACTAAACTATCTATCCTCAACAGTCTCAAATTACATGGCGGACACAAAAGTTGGGGGGAGGAAATGTAGCACAGGAATGCGGCGTCGTGACAACCATGGAACCAATGGCCAACGGCTACGCACTTCCAGTCTAGGCTGGACAGCAGCCGGCTCCTATGACTCACACAGCCACCCAGCTTATACCATGGTTGTGGATTGCTGTGTCTTGCATCGAATTGGCGCGCATGCCAGTCCAGCTTCTGTGGCCCTTTCAGATTAAGCGTTCTCCTCTTTTCAGGTGCTGAAGGGGCCTGTGCCTTCGGACGCCGCTTCGCGTCGCGCCGTCGCGGATGTTGGCCGGAAACGGTCAGCTGCCAAGGGCATCCGTCTGCGACATTTCCCTAGGTCTTCAAGGGGTTGCCTTTATTTCAAATACCCGGCCGTTTTCTTGGGCACATTGCGCGAACAAGAAGTGCATAATATGTACATACATCTATATATTTGTATCTAAATATATATATATATATATATCTATATATACATATATATGTATATATCTGTTTACTGGGCTTCACTCCCCAGTCTGTTCAACCATTCCTTTGTTTAACATCCCATGAGCGTTTGGCAGTTTGCTGGAAAAAGGGATGCATGGAATAAGTAATTTTAGAGCCATGGAGTGTGATACCAAAATGCTTGATTCCCATCCCCGTGATTACTTAAACCTTCAAAAGGGAGCCTGTTGGTATCAAAATGGCCCTTAACACCCCGGGGTTCCATATAATGAGCGGATTGCCAACACGCGAGCAGGCAATTTCACATTTGTTGAGGCAAATCAGCATCTTGACAAGTCAGCCAAGAAAGCAACATCAGCAACATATAAAAATACCAGCAACCGAAGCAGATCACTATACCTATCCACCTGCGACCAACCGTTCAACCAAGCAACCAGCCAAGCCAACAGCAAGCAGCAACCAAGCAACCAGCCAGCCGGTTGCCAACTGTCAGCTCACCAACCAAACCAATAAATCATCCGTATTACGCCAAGCCAAACGAAACAACAGTTGAACAAAACAGAAAACACGCAAGCAAGCGGGCAGGCAGGAAGGCAGGCAGGAAGGCAAGCAATCAACCCTTCAAGCAGCCATTCACGCAAGCAAGCATCAAATCAATTCCCAAACCAGACTGCTCCAATCAAGTCCATCCCGATGGGTCACACATTGAATCGAATCACATCGAACAGCCGTGCAGCATACTTTAAATTTTTCGGCAAACCAAACAAGCTTATCAAAACACGATTGAACTCATCACACATCATATTTGCCACTGGCATGTACGTAGACAAAATTCGAAAGTAAGCAAGTGGACTGGGTGGCATCGTTGTCTGCCTGAACCAACGAGGCTTACACAATTCCAAGTGCAATGCTATTATGGCACATGCCAACCAACACGCGGACATACATACAGCCACTCAAACACATACAGGCACACATCATCGGCCATAAAATGGCACGGGATCTCAACCATCAAAAGCACAACTGAGTCACCATCAACACTAGTGCTAAAGGAACCTGCCCAAAACCGTGAAACATATCAAACAGGCGGCCGCACCTAAGTCTGTCCCATGTTAGCCTTCATCTACCTGGGTTTGGATTGTGGCTCAACTTACGTTGGGCCGTGCTTGATGCGTTGTTGGCACATATAGAATTGTTCCAGAACAGGATCTTTGCGCCACATCAAACATCTCTTTACAACACACATGTACAAATTAAACACATGGTCTTAATCTCCAGTAAAGCATCCCAACCTTAAAACAGCATGCAAGCTGCAACTAATCAACAGAACCAACAAACACACCTCAAACAACCGGGAACAAACTACAACAACAACAAAAAAAACAATACACTACACAAATGACAATGTGAAACACCTCCAGGCATGTCCTGACTTGAGCTTCAGGGCCCGCGATGCCCTCGGCACAATTGCCATGAAGTCTAAGGCAATTGAAAGGCTTACTGTACAATCCCGGGGGATCTCCTGGACGTATCCCTTGGAAAACCTGGGGCCCGCCGGCCCCCAGTGTTTCCGTCAAGACCGATGCCTTCCTACGGGTGCACGATGGTTCGCACACCCTGTCCAAATGGCGTGAGGATCGAAAGTTCCGCTTCTCGACAAACAAGCGACCGAGGCGTGGGATCTCTTCAGGCTACGCCACCTTTCGAGGATGTGTCTTCGGATTGATTTTGCCGCCTGCTGCAGATCCCGGCTTGGCAAACGTAGCTTTTCAGCCCTAAAATTGTCTTCCCAGGGTGTGGGGACAAAAAGCACCCGAAGTAAGGCAGGTTTCTTGGGGCCCCTTGAGATGGGATGGGATGACAAGCCATGGCATCCAAGGGCTGCACCTCACACCACAATCATGATGCCCGCATCGCCCTGAAATCATGAGTGAAGCGACGCCGTTGAAGTGTTCGATGAATTTCGCTCAATGGTCTTCCATCAATGGGTGGCGGTTCGTGGTGAAAGAAACAGTTCAGGTTCCCTTTCGGCAAACAAAAAACACTGGCTGGTTTAGCCCGCGTAACACCCACGGGTTTAGGGGGTCCCCCAAAAGCCACATCCGCAAATACCCAGAAAGCCATCGGAAACCCTTCGTCCAATGCAAGCCGTCTGAGACCCCCCGGCGAAATTGGACACTGCTCGCTCCCGGCGAGCCGCGAGCTCGGCGAGCCGCGAGCTCAGCGAGTGGGAATGAGCTCGAGAACCTTGGCAATCAAGTTAAGCCTAGGGCTGCCCCAGTCATCAGAACAACAGGACAGAGGGATAGATACCGGGTATTTCATAGTGTTGAGTGTTGCTAAAACGTGTTTTTGCTATCTTAGCTGTGGCCAGCACCCCCCCCCCCCCCCCCATTTTCGTGCCTAAACAGCCAGACCCTGGGCCCCTTGCAGAAACCGAGAGGAGGCCTAGTTGCTTCATGAACCATGTTCAAGCGGGAGGACGGGCCCGACCCTGCTCTCCAGATGTCCACCTTTAACATCATGCAGCCAAGAGGCTTAATGGCTTAACATCAAATTGCTCCACACAGTGATAGTGATGTTGCAACTGGCTTAAGGAAGTATAGGGGCCCTTGACCTTCCTAAAGCATCGGGCAACAAGTGCCAAGCAAAAAACAACTTATTTCCCTAAAATTGAATCATAGAGCCCCAGACGCGGGGTCTGGCAAAGGAGTAAATAGCAACTCTGCACAAGGTGAGCAACTTGCCAGCTTGAGGGGAACTGCAGAAAAGCAGGATCCCACCTCCCTTGCTACAGCAAGCTTGGTCAACACAAGAGCCTGGTCAACACCGCCGGTACCCTCTCTCTGAGCCAACTCGCAGAACAGCCAGGAGCCGTTTCAACCCAAGGTCTTGGGTTCCAGGGTGCTGCACACAAGCTGTTCTCTCGGTGCCAGCTGGCTCCGAAAAAAACAAAAACCAGTGAATGGGTCCCGGGAGCTGCAGCCAAGTCGCGTTGATGGACACCACCACTTTCGAGTCACTGTCCTCGTGATCCTCGAAGGGCTTGATGTAGTCGCCTGCGGAAAGCGGTCTCTGCACAGGCGCGCCAGGCAAGCAGCACGGAGTTGTGCCCAGCAACACAAAAATGGGTGTGGCTCAAATTGATGTACCAAAATGGCACCTTGGTAAGTGGAGCCAAAGACTAAACCTGAGTAACCCTAGCTCGTTCATTTTGAGCCACACCCAAATGGGCGCGCAGCAAAGAAAAAGTGGGAAAAGCAGCAAAGAAGGCATTCATCAAATAAATTAATGTTAATGGACGAATCCAAAGGACCATACTCATCAGGGGTGGTTCCCCTTCTGTTAAGGAAATTATTTGTTTTAGGGTGTTCCTCTGACCAGTGGGGACCTCTAGATAAATCCGAGGTTGACCTTATCAGAGCTCTCGTTAATTGAAGGGATGGGGGCCTCGGAAAGGCAGGGCCTCCTAGAGTGCCAGCATTGCAACAACGCTGGAAAGGATTCAGCGCGACCGGCAACTCGAACCAGACATTGCTCGAAAAATACTAATCCTACCTGAGTTCATTGAACAACTGGTTCGAATCTCCTGACAATGCGTTGCAAACTGGCAGGTCTTGGGCAAACATCAGACACCATCCTGAAGTGCGCCTTTTGGCCGCAATATTCCAACGTGCACACAAGCATGCAAAGGCTTTCATGTGGTCAAGTCCAGCGGGAAAACTTACACTGTTTTTTGCACCTAGTAATCCAGTAGCATGTGCTTGCTGTTTTTGCCGTGCTTTTTTGCCTCCCGTACAGCCCTCCCTTTGAATTCAAGCGCGAAACAAAATGCAATATATACATTGCACAACCAGATGCATCTTCTTGGTGACCTGACAGGGCCCAACTGGCCCAACTCACTTCCATGATTCCGCCTTTTGACCGGTGAACGGCTCGTCAAGACTTACCCCCCCCCCCCAAAAAAAAAAAAAGCAACAAGAACGGCGCCGTGGGTAATACAGGGCTCCCTATATTTCCCCCTTAAAACATCACCCCCAACAAGGGATACTCACCTTTCATGGACCAAAAAGGTGATGTTTAAAACCACCAAGAAGGGAAATATCGGGACCCCTGTAGTAAGCTGCTCCAGATGGCCGCCTTCCGCGCGGCCACATCTCCCGTCCCGGCGGCCGAGCTCGAGTCCGGCGCCTAGGTACCGCCGGCCTAGGCACACCTTCGGCCCCGTGGAGCGGCTGTTCACCGAGAACTCGAACCTGCCGAGTTCGGGGGCGGAAGCCGCAGGGGAACTGGTGCCACTGGAGCCTCCACCCCAACCCTTGTGGAATCCTGGGTGGTAGGGAATTACCAGGGTGGGGAGTTGAGAGCCCCAGGTTCTTTTGCGAGCCTTGGGAAATCATTCCCTAACTCCTGTTCGAGGGTACCAACCATTTGGGGGGGTGCCTGCGCTCCCTTATTTTAAGACAGACCCAAATGGGTATATAAAAATTGAGTTGGGGACCAAAGGGTGGACATCGAGGTGGAGAATGATACAGAGTTGACGTCCAACTCTGTGGGAGGGTGGTTCCCATTAAGACAAACAACAAACGCACAGCCACAAAGCTACATATGGCGAGGAATAACCAGGGCAGGCTAAATTATTACACACCATGATGCTTCAACCCTGGAGGAAAAACCTTTCAATCCAATTGCTTACCCCAGGAAAGTAGATTTTGGGGTGGTTTAAAGGACAATTAACAGGAATTTACTGATTTTGGGGCGTCCCCCTCAAAAAAGACACACCCAAATGCCACAATTCCGTGGTGCCCTTGTGGGTAAGCAAAAGGCAATGACCAAACCACCATAGGGGAATTGTGCCATCCACACCTGTCCAACTGTAGGGTTCTTTGGTTTTCCTCTATGGGGGGGGGGGGGCGAAATGCAAGCACACGTTGATCATGACGTAATTTGGACTTATTATACCCGCGACCCCACTCTAATCGTTTAGGCCATTTGTGTACCTGGACTCTCCTTCTTTAAAACGGGGTCATACACGGTCATGAGCCTACGGGGTTGCGTCTCTTTAAGACTCAAGGTATGTGTGTTTCCTCGGGGAATTCAGTGACTGTAACAATATTCCTGTTGTTTGTTGGAGGTAGCAGCCTGAGTAGCATTGGGCGTATTATGGCAGCACATATTCCTGGGGAGCGTAGCAAAACGCATGCTCATACCGAACGTCAACAGAAACCGCACATGGGCATACGGGTATGCATCAAAATAGGGGAAGCTCAAACTGGGTGGTAGTTCTGCTGGCTTCCCTTTAGAGCCAGGCACATACTCCATTTCAAAGTAGCACCCAAAAGGCTTTCTGCAATCATGGGTACGAAGTGGATCTTCTGGGGACTTACAAAAGGCAAAGGAACACAGGGGACCCAGAGACATGTCCGAACTGTTGAGGTCCCGAGGTGTCAAAGCTACTCCATGCAAAAAAACACACGAGAGAATAAAACAAAAACACGTGGACGTCTCGCGAAAAAATGCGCCTTTTCCTTGAAAGAGACTCCACTAAGCCATTCCCACAGCGGGAATGGTTTGAGGGGTTTGGTCCTGAAGGCCTTTTTTGCAGAGTGGAAACCTGCCAGCTGTGCCAAAGTAAACGGGCAATACATCAGCGCGGCAAAAGAACAGAGCGGCGAAGCCATTTGGCGGGTTTATGTTGCAAGCAAGCACGCGTTGAAGCAAGCTAAAGCAAACCAGCCAAGCAAAGTTCCAGACAAGCAAACAGTCAAGGATGCCAAGCAGGCCAAGTAAGATAGACACGGAGAAAAAAACACATAGTTAATCATGCTGGCACACTAGCACATAAACGAACCAATGCAACCACTCTCAACACGCACATACGCACACACGCACACACACACACACAGAAACACAAGCAACTTTTAAGCACAAATGCAAACACAAACGAACACAAATGCAAACACACACGCGCGCACACACACACACACATGCGCACAAATCAGCAAACCGAGACCAATTGAAACCCGCCGATATCAGCCCCGACGCCACCGTCTCCCAGCTCCCTTCATGGTTGTGACAAATCACCCTAATCAACCTTTCCGTACTGTACTGCTAAGTCCTTTCATGGCAGTGGCAAATCACCCATAGCCATAATTACACACTTTCTACAATGCCAACTTGGGCCTTCTCCATGCTAGCTCTATCACTCTGATGGGAATTTCCTTTTGTTGATAGACCATGCCAGCCATAATGTTTACTTCCCACATGGCCGTCATACAGGGGTAGGTCTAAAGAGTGAAGCGCTGCGCTATTTCAGCAGCAAATTAAGAGCTACCGTTGAATCCAAAAAGGCAGTGACTGAAAATATGCCCAAGAATTCTCAATGCATTTGTTCTCCCAATTGTCAGAACCATCAGACCCCTTGGTTCGAGCAAAACCGACCTTCGAATGACAGATCGATGGCTTGCCGATTTTGCCGACTGCCGGGGCCCCCGCTTGATGCCGGGGCAGTCAGGGCCCCGCGACAAGGCCACGGAGCAATGCCCGGGCTCGGCTTCGCCTTGGGCGGGCTGTTGGGCCGAATGGATTCACCCCATGAGCATCTCGGGGTGTGTCCATTTGGTACCCTTTTAAAACCAACCAAAAGAATTCCTAATCTAGGTGCTCCAGCAGATAGGTTAGAATAAGGGTATCAACTTTTTCTGTAGTGTATTTTAGTAGGGGAATCCTGCCCCAAAAAAAGGGGAGAGAAGGGCACTACTGGGGGACCTAGCCTGCATGTTCGGGGTAGTTTTTATGGCCAGTGAAAGGAAACACCCATCTTGAAAATACCCTGATGTTGAGACAAACCCCATTTAAAGGATGGTTCCCATTCCAACCCCCTCCTTGGGGACGGACCTCCTTAGGGATGTAAGGGATGGTTCCCATGCACACCGTTGATGAGATCCATTTCAACCCCCTCCTCAGGGACGGACCCCCATGTAAGGGATGGTTCCCATGCACACCGTTGATGAGATCCATTCCAACCCCCTCCTTGGGGACGGACCCCCATGTAAGGGATGGTTCCCATGCACACCGTTGATGAGATCCATTCCAACCCCCTCCTTACAAACGGATCCCCATGTAAGGGATGGTTCCCATGCACACCGTTGATGAGATCCATTCCAACCCCCTCCTTAGGGACGGACCCCCATGTAAGGGATGGTTCCCATGCACACCGTTGATGAGATTCATTCCAACCCCCTCCTTGGAGACGGACCCCCATGTAAGGGATGGTTCCCATGCACAACGTTGATGAGATCCATTCCAACCCCCTCCTTAGGGACGGACCCCCATGTAAGGGATGGTTCCCATGCACACCGTTGATGACATCCATTCCAACCCCCTCCTTAGGGACGGACCCCCATGTAAGGGATGGTTCCCATGCACACCGTTGATGAGATCCATTCCAACCCCCTCCTTGGGGACGGACCCCCCATGTAAGGGATGGTTCCCATGCACAACGTTGATGAGATCCATTCCAACCCCCTTCTTGGGGACGGACCCCCATGTACGGGATGATTCCCATGCACACCGTTGATGAGATCCATTCCAACTCCCTCCTTAGGGACGGCCCATGTAAGGGATGGTTCCCATGCACGCCGTTGATGAGATCCATTCCAACCCCCTCCTTGGGGACGGACCCCCATGTAAGGGATGGTTCCCATGCACACCGTTGATGAAATCCATTCCAACCCTTAGGGACGGACCCCCATGTAAGGGATGGTTCCCATGCACACCATTGATGAGATCCATTCCAAACCCCTCCTTAGGGACTGTTCCCCCCCAAAACAAAAAACACCCGAATATTCCCATTAAACACCGTCCCTCTTGGACGGCAATCGAGCTTGGCCAGGGCATCAAATGCTTTATCGTAGACTCTTAGAGTTTAGTGTCGCATGGGGCACGTCTCACCCAAAGCTTTACTTTTAACAAGGGATCGAGTATTGCTTCTGACTGATATTGGGATGATTAGTTGGGAAAGCAATGGCAAGCCCGGCTTGTTGCGCCAATGATGTTGATGTTCACGATTGCAATCACAGCACATGTTAGCTTCAGTGAAAGTGGCTCTCTTCCTTAGACAGTGGCATTGTTTTCTCCTCCCGTAGGAGGAACGACGAGTGAGGCCAGACCGGCGATGCATTAGATTCCTAATTGGTGGTTGGGTTTGGGTCGGTTGGAGGTGGTTCCCATTTGCCTTCTGGGAGAACCAGGGGTTGAAATTCCCAAAACACCACTAGGTCCTCCAGTAGAAAAGTTAGAGTAAGGGTACCCTTTTTTTCTGTAGTCTATCTTAGTAGGGGAACCCTCACAAGAAAGGGTAAAAGGGCACTACTGGGGGACCTAGGCCAGTTAGAGGGAAGCTGACTCATGTGTCTTCACACCAATGGTATCCAGATTCTTTGCCTATGCCAGTGGCGCCCGATTGCTCGACAGGTCACGGCTGCCGTTGGGGTAGAAGGACAGCTGCATACGCCCTTCCTTGGCTGACATTCGGCAAATGTTTGATATGGAAGCAACAAGGCGTGGTGTCAATCAGCATTGGCAAGACAATCGCTGATTTTGGAGGGTTCCAAAGGGGAGTCCTCCTTTTTCAAGAACACTCGTTGTATCTCGTTTGAGTATGATGAGGGTGCGGAACTGCCAGTTGCTAGGTGTATCGACTGATCGATCAGGTCGTTGCATTTGGACATCGCACCCACAACACCACACACCAACACCCACCCACCCACCCACCCACCCACCCACCCACCCACCCACCCAACTTCCCACCCACCCACCCACCCACCAACCCACCCGCCCGCCCGCCCGCCCACCCACACACACACAGCCAAACAAACACAAAGACATACACAAACACACGCAGACGCACAAACGCAAGTGCGCATGACGTGCGCACACATGCTCGCGTGCGTGCTTGCGCGAATGTGTCCACCCCATTTCCCGGAGCTCTGGGTTTCCCCGCTTGGATGCTGAAGGTGGGTGACATGATGCATGAGTCCTGGCCAAACTGAGGTGTTGCACGGTCACCACAACTTGAAAGATTGTTTTCGTGGCGGTTGATCCAAACTTCCATCCACTGCTAGTGGGCGGGGGGGGGTCACACCATGGAGCCCAAATCGCCTTTGTAACCCATGTCCATGTAAAGCAGACCCTCTCCGTATGACACAGAAAGTCAAAACCAGGGAAGAGCACAAGATTTGGATCGTCCCCAAGAAACCTGTAACAAGCCTACGAGATCACCAGTGCCCGCAGGTTTGACTCGGGCCACAGCACCACAAGCGGGCTGCACACACCCCACGGCTACCGAAAGCCATGAAGACAACTACGACGTGCTCGGCCGCATTCTGAACAACTGGTTTTTCGCGTCGATTGAATGATCTGGACAAACTGACATCCAACTCACCAACATGCTTACTTTGGACCAGAAAGGGCATGCATATAATGCATGTGCAGCCCGTTGACATGGGCCTCGCCGTCACCAACCTGAACGCTTGGGCAAGAGGTAGGGCCAAGGGCCCTGCTCTGAAAATTGCCACATCCTTCATACCGTTCATACCAGTACAAGCCAGCAAAAGAAGACATTCTTCGCTAGGGTGGGAAAAAACCCTCAGTCCCACACTGGGTCTTAACATGCCTCTTACTGAAATGCTTCCCTTTGGATTCTCCAGAGAACCCTCAGAGAAGATAGGCTCTAATTGAGCTTGTTCCTCATTGCTGCCTCTTTGCAGGGGAAACCTGGCCTGGGCCTAAAGTAACTGTCGTCCTTCGAGACTTCAATAGATCCTGGACCCTTGTTCTGACAAGTGCCAAACTCTTCGTTCAGTGGCGACACCAAGAACTCCCCTCGCAAAATGGGCCTTGTCATGGTTCCCCGGAAACTGCTTGCTGCCAAAATAACCAACCCTCTCCCCTTTGGGTTTCCTATGGTTGGCTTCTTCACATCCCAAGCCCGCAGACCCACGCCATCCTTGGGGCACTGGCAGAGCTTGCCCCAAGGATCCGCCACCGTCCAATCGAAGCGGGAGCCCGAGACCGAAGCGCCGCCCGTGTCGCCTGACAGCAAGCTCCGTGCGTGCCGCTGAAGCAACCGTCCGGCCAAGGGAGCCCCATGAACTGATCGAGCCCAAACCCCTGACACAGAATGCATCGGCACTTTTTGCGTGAACAGTCGCCCAACCAAACGAACCGCCGTGCTTCGGGGGACGAGCCAGGCGAACCTTGGCTCGGAGCTGCGGACAAAGCAGATGGGGCGTACGCCGCAAATCCGCCACTTTCTCAGCTGAAATCAAAGGTTCCGCCCCCCTCAAGCAGGCAACACCAAACAGAGGGTCCATCCGAGCCCAACAAGGCAAGTCCTCTGAACATGATGCCTCATCTTACTTTTCAGCAAAACACCGTCCCTTCCATTGGGCAGGCCACAAGTGGACCAACAACAGCAACAGGGGTCATGATTTCGCTTGCGAGTCCTTAGAGCGCTGCCTCATGCTGCCTCTCTCTGCACCCAATCTGGTAGTTTGACCTCTCTATTCCAACAAGCGAAGGCTTCCAGCTTGCTCGTGACACGGCTGGGAATCAAAGCTGGGGGACCATAAAAATGATCGACTTCGCTTTGGTTCCTCTTCGCAAAAGACTACAAGGTGACTCAAAAGGCAACCTAAGACAAATGGACACATCATCCACGTTTGTCAAACTGCCCTGCCTAGTCACACCAAGCATGAGTTTGTGTTGAGACACATCCGAAAAACCCAATTGGCGCCTTTCGCCTAGTTTTCGTCAATTGTGATAAATGTCAAAGGACAAATCTCATTTTCTGCGGAATAAGTGCCAAAGGAATAGTCCAGGTCATGAACGTCAGAACGGCAAATCTGCTTTTGACTTTTCACCAGGCCGCTCAGAAACTTTGCAGGGGGGTCGTTTCGGTGGGTTTCTTGAGGCAAGGTCGCAAGTCGCCACAAAAGGACACAAAGCCCGAGGTGAAGCACTGCCATGCACTGCCCATGCTTTCCCCGAGTGGAAGGATCGGACCCTTTGGCCGATTCTCCGGCTCGAAGCCTCGACTCGCGACGAAGCGAAGCGCTCGAAGCCCCGCCTTCTTCCACCAGCTGCAGCTCGATGGAGGCCGGCAGCTCCATCGCCGGAGGCTCCATCTCTGGTAGGCACAGCCCCTAGCAAGGCAGAATGACCTGGGGGTTATAAGGGCTGCTTTGCATGGGAAACAAAAGATCCACCCCAAAAGGAAGTCCCCTTTACCACCAGGAGATTTGTCAGATTTTCTGGCTTTTCCGCGCCATGTCAACCTTGAAGGAATGGCAGGCACGAGACTTAACGTACCCTGAGACATAATCCTTCTTATCCGCCCCGTATAACCCTCCCCCCCCCCCAAAAAAAAAAAAAAAACAAAAAACAAAAAACAAGAAGGAAGGTTGGCACTGCGAATTTATCGAATCTGGTCTATAGGGATCAAGGCTCTTGTCACGTGCCGCTGGGGGCGTAGCGACTTGTACCTCACTTGGGGAACTACACAATGTCCCACACGGCTTTATGTAGGAGATGTGCATAAACATATATATATATATATAAATACATGGCTTAAATCCATACCTTGAAAGGGAAGCCAACCTGAAGCGTCGCTTTTCACCCAGCCAACTGGTCCCCCTCAAAGATTTCCGTCCAGAGGCCCAGAAAATGATCCGCACGATTGATCTTCTGTATTGCGTTAATCCCTGCTGACTTAATGGTTCAGTTGAAGCCACGGTCAGGAACATCGAGAAAAACAAAAGAAAAAAAACAACTAGAGACTAGGCCTACAAGGTACGTCTAACAATCACCTGATTCACAAAAGGATCCTCCGAATCAGTTGGTGAAAATCGCCAAACTGCATCCTTTGAGCAACCCTGACAACCCCCCACCACATCGTAAACAAGAAACAAGAACGCTCCTAGTGCCGGTCAGTGGGCAAGTGACGGAAATACATAAGTCATCACACAAGCAAAGGTGCACAAAGCCTGGCTCTGGGAAGACAAACGATCCCCTAACTACGTGTATAGAGACCCTAGGGAGAAGGGATGCACACCCGAGCATCGCTGGATTGCTGACCATGTACACTGATGGTTCGCTACAGGACCCCTTGCAACCAACTGACAACGGTGAGAGCTAGAAGCGGTCCTAACCCTTTTCAGCGGGGCTTGATAAACAGGTCCAGCCCGGACAGGGCGCCCCCCCCCCCGTCAATGCTGCCACCCACTCCGCCATACGCCTTCAAGCAGAGCCTTTTCGGGCAATCCGTAAGAACGAGTCCCCTCTCTCAGAACGGTTGTCCTTCCGCCAAATTGTCTGGAAAATGTTTGTTCTCAAGGACCCCTGTGTCGGACTACCATGCGCTTGGAGAACCGCTTCCAGGTTTGTTACTTGTGGGGGGGGGGGGTGGCGATTCAATCGCCCGCACCCCCCAAATCCCCCCAAATTTCGCGCCTGCAACAGTGGAGAGGCTGCAGGTCGGATCATGGGCGAGGGTGTTGGTGTGCGACCCCAGCCTTGGCAAGAGGCGTCTGCTGGTGAGGGTAGTTCTTGGAAAGACCTGGGTTTCCCTCGTAAAGCGAGCCCCCCCCACCCAAAAAAAAACAAAAGCACCCTCTTTTAAAAAAAAGAAGAAGAAGAGGAAACAAAAAAACTGCCAGGCCGCCAAGTCCCTGATACGGAATCCATATACCGTACATACCCAATACCTATGTACACATTCCATTGGCATTACGTAATAACATATCAATACATACGTTTGTCCGTTGAGGTCCTCTTGCAAGGGTGCGCCACATCTCGTTTCCGGCATTCGCCTTGGATCCCTGTAACAATACTAACCCATGGCGTTGACTGCATCATCCCGTGTGGATTCACATGGACAATCGACCACCATTTGTGGTTGGATTTCCGCGCGGGTGACCCCTATTGTGGCCTTTTGCTAAGTAACCAGCCGCAAAATGAGCTGAGACTTGGAGCTTTGAGGCCCCAGGGCTCTAAGTTCTCCCGTCTTCCGGGGGCCTGGCACTGGTAGCAATCAAAGCCTGGGCTCCTGTCCGGAAACCAAAGGATGTTTAGTTAAAACAACTTGGTGGACGTTGGGTTTGGGGAGAAACAAATTATCAAATCTTAGCAGTGGATTTGGATTTCAAGCACTAAACCACAAAAAGCAAAAAATGGTCAACATGTTTCCCAACAACAACCATGACAAGACGTGGTCGAAGATGCTTAAGTGTATGCAAGCTAACCAAACGGCACCACACACGAGCACGCGATAACTCTTTCATCCGAGCAGTGTGTTGGTGCCAGGGACTCATCTTCCCCTGTCAGATGACCAACGCTGGGTGGGCCCCATGGGCCACCCAACTCACAATTCTCAAAAACTGAAGAACGGGTGTGCAGACTGATAGCGCCCGCCCCTGAGCCGGGGCCCGTGGCACCCAGGCCACAGGGGGGTCTGCCACCAGGGGAAGTGAGTCACCCACCGGCTCCGGTCACGGGAGCATGGGTGGGCCCACGCTGAGATCAAATGCATCTCCATTCAGGAGACGCGGGAGAAAAACAAACTCCTCACAGAGTTCCTGCTTGGGGACCCTTTGCAAAGGGTCGAACCCAGAGAAATCTGGGTGCGTCAGCTCATCAGCCCATTGATTGAATTCACGGGGCACATGGTTGGCCGCCAGCGAGCAGCCATGGGTGTGGAGCAGGAAGACCAGCTCCATCAGGATCGCCGCCGTGTAGGGCTTCTTGGATCCAAGGTTGAGCATCGCCATGACGTTGCCCTGATTGTCACTGCCCACCGGGAGTCGGACCCGGGAGGACAGAGGGCCTTGGTGCGTGAGGATCATGTTACAGAGGAAGAGCGTGCCCAGCATCTCCAGAGCTGCAATCCTCCGCTTTGGATCCCCATTCTTGAAAGCCCAAGGGTACTCCTCCACGTGGATCTGCTCATGGAACCAGTACACCTCCTTCTTGTCCGGTTCCACTGTGTTGGAGCACCAACCTCCCACAAATGCCAGTCCGTCGTCCGAGGCGCTAGCGTCGCTGCAACCCCACCAAGAGGACTTTGGCAAGTAGGGGGAGTACTGGACGAAAGGCGTGTTGAAGAGGAACCGCAGCATGAACGCCAGCATCCTGACCACCTTGGGGGGTTTCCCCACCGTGGTGGTGGCCATCTTCCAGGCCCAAAGTGGCTGGAGCATCGACTTCGCCAGCGGACATGCAGCCGTTGCCCATTGGATGCGGCCCAGGGCCTTCTCGATGTCCTTTGAGTGCATCGCCTGCCCTTCCACCATGGTCTGCAAAACCTCCATGACCAGGATGTGTTTGTTGGCTGCCATGAGAACCTGCGGGATGTTCGGGTGGACCACGAAGCCCAGCCATGTGTTAACCTCCGCCAAGTGCGTCTTCTTCCAGCTAAGTGGGGTGCCCAATGCCAGGAGTGTGGCCAGCAGCGCCACCGCCAAGTTCACTGCCCCCTCGCTTCGAAGCAGCCACAGGAAGTCGACGAAGACGAAGTTCCAATCCACTTGAGGGAAAAGTGCGTAGAGGACCCTGAGCAGAAGGGCTGCCAGGCGTCCCCAGTAGGATTGGGCACTGGCCATGCCATATGTGCCTACCTTGTTCACCCACCATTCTTCCCCCAGTGAGGCCACCTGGAACCGCCAGTCCTTCCTGAGGACCTTCACTCTCCGGTGGGCCTTGGTGACGTCCGCCTTGAGCAGCACCCACCTGGTGCCCGGCGCCGGCCATAGCCAGCCCCCCTCGGGGCCAGAGGCACCCTGAGAGGGGGGTCCCTCCGCAGCTGCCGCATGTAGCCAATGGAGAGCTTGAACCCCATCCAGCACCGTCGGAGCCGTCGTCCTTTCCACCGTCTGGTTCCTGATGGTGTCATTGGCCCCTCCCACCGAGCCATCGTAGATCGTGCGGATCTTGTCCCCCTCGTCGATGCCCGCTAGGGGGCCGGGACAAAGGTCCTCGCTGTCGCAGCCACATCGCGATGCTGCCTCCTCCTTACTGAAGGGGCCCTCCACCATGCCCATGGGGACCTCCTCCAGAAATGTGCCCCGGATGAGATCGCTGAAGTGATCCGCCGAGGGGTAGTTGCCCCTGCCCGTTGGCTGGGGAGTTCCTGGAACTCCGGCTCCTCCCCTTTCAGCTCCTTCTTGAGTGGCCAGATGCCCGGCGAGGTCAGGGGTGGGTCCGTGACCCCCAGTGGGACCCCTTGCTCCAGGTCCCGGGGAAACTGGTGGTCGGGGTCCTGAATGTTCAGCGCCACGCTGTGCAAGATGTTCAGGAAGAAGGGTTGGCCGTCCGCTGGTCGGCCTGCCCCCGGTCGGGCCCACGGGGCCAACCGTCCCAATGAGGGCTTTCCTCCACCGTTTCTTAAGGGACGCTGCTTGAAAGCCATCTGGGAGATATTGGGGTCGTGCGTGATCGGCAGGATGGTGGGCCGATCCGAGATCTCCATGCCCTGGTGTGCCCATGGATCCAGGGGAAGAGTTCCCCCCCCAAGTTCATCCACCTCGCCAGTCCTCTGTGTCGATGTCCCCGCCTCTGGATTATCCGAGGCCGAGACCGGAAGTGAGCCCAAGGTCAGACCTGCCAACGCTTGTTGGCCCGCCTTCAGCCTTCGGGACTGGCGCTTGTTGTCCCCCGGCGTGCTGGGAGAAGGTTCCCTTGGACGCCTCGGGGGGGTCGTTGGGTTAGCCTGGGGCGCCATGCCTCCCGGCCTCAGCGCCTCCAGGACGGGTCCCGCTCGGCAAAGGATGGCCGCTGCGAGACCCTGCATCATCTGCTCCGACCGGCTGAGGTCACTGGAGTTGAGCTTTTCTCCCCTGGGGTGAACGCAGGTCATGCCAATGGTGGAGAGGAAGGTCCGTTGGCAACGCCGTGGACTTCACAACCACCTGGCCCAGGCGGCACTCATCGAACTTGATGAGGGAGTGGTGGAGTGCACTCGCCCATTGAACGTAGGCCCGCGTGACCCAGATCGATGAGCACCTCGCTGCGCTCGGGCTCTTGCTGCACTCCATCGGGTCCATCGGGTGCTCCAGGAAGGAGGAGCCAACCTGCGGGACCGTTAGCTGACCTAGCCCCTTGTAGGCCAGCGAGGTCAGGTACATCTGTCGGAGCATGAGCACGCTGTCATTGTCCGTGTCCTCCCTAACCCGGGGCTCCAAGTCCTCTAAGCCCCACAAGGTCTGCTCTGCTCTGCCCCTCACCGGCGGTGGGCCACCCGGCTTGGGGAACCACCTGAGGATGCTCCACGTCCTGCAGTTGGGGCCACCTCCCACCAATGCGACCTTACCCGCCATGGCCATGGAGCACATCGTCGAGTAAGGCTCCTCGCCCAGCATGTCCTGGCCCAGGTCTCCACCCTTTCTCCTGATATCCACCGCCCAAATGTACTCCGAGAAGGCCGGGTTGTAGGCATGGAGGTAGGCATCCAGGGCCCCCGCATCATCCTTCCCAGCGTACAGCAGGATGAGGGACGGCTTTGAAGACCCCGGCACTGGCCTCGGCGTCCACCCCAGTCTGAGCCTCAGTCTTTCCGGGATGTCCTGCATCCATGGGAAGGTGGGGCTTGCCCCCCCTAGGGATTCCGTGCTACCTTTGTCTGATCCCCCCGTCATCTGTCCCCGGGCTTGATGCTTGCCCTGGCGGTTCTTCCCGCCCTTGGAGCGCCCCTTGCTGGGCGGATCCTCACCTCTGGGTCTCTCTGGGGGGTCTACCCACTGCCTCGGTGGGTGCGGGGGAAAGGGATGCTTCCGCCCTTCTGGAGTGCCCTGGCTGGGACCGCTCCTCTTCTTCGGTGGAGGGGCTTCCGGGGCCGGTGGCACCCTGGAGAAGTCCCCTCCCATCTGAGGCCGTCCTGGCCTCCCCCGCTCTGTCTGCCATCCGCTGTGGCTCTGGTGGGGCTGGCTCTCCCCCTCTGTGTGCACTCTCGCACTGGTGGCCTGAGATCCCAACTGAGACCGGGAAGCCACGGGGCCTATGGCACCCTGGGTGGCCTCCTGTCACTTGGGAAGGTGAGGGCATGCCTATAAACATGCTTCGATGGGGGGCATCACACACCCACCCATCCTTCCTGACCGGGCAGTTGTGGGAACGGCCGCACGATCCCGAACACTTGTTGTGGAGGTGATGATCTCTGCAGTACGCCACCCCTTTGGGATTCTTGAAAGCCCAGTGGTCCGGCCATGGAACCGAGGGGGAGTTGGGGGATTTCCCTTTGCCGCCCTTGCCCTTTGGCTTGGACCTGGTCGGCCCCGAGGGCCATGCGCCTTTCCCCCCCTTCTTCGGCTTCTCCCACTGAGTCTGCCACACCTTAGGTGCCTTGCCCTTGTTCTTCCCCTTTTTCGGCGCCCTGTTGAGGTGCTCATAGACCTCCCGTTGCCAGAAGAGGAAGTCGCCCCTGATATTCTTGAGGGCATCGGAGAGGGTGGTGCCCTGGTGCACCATCTCGTGGATCTTCCTCCACGCATTGCGCTCTGCAAACAGCAAGGTAGTGTCACTC